TCTCAGCTACATCACAACTGCTTTTGTGAGCAGGATTTCAACACCCTTTTCATATACAGATATTTAGAAGAACCTAAAGTTAATAAAATTCACCTATGTAGTAGGGCTGGCCGATATGTCAAAAATATCTTCTAGATAATCGCCTTTAAAAATATCACGATATCCGAAAATATCGTCTACCTAAGCCCCACCTCCACCATGCCCCGCCCCCGCCGAGACAACATTGCAGACATGCACCATAAACACACACCATGTTCAGTTTGGTCTTAATTATTGCCACAAAGTATCAATGGAAATTAAACATGGGAAACACCTGGGGAGCAAGACATGGAGCAGAGTCTGACAGGAGGTCTCTGTTGGCCCGTTTTTAACTAAATAAAAATAACTGCTTTATTTATTTAGAAGCAGGGTAATTAAAATGTCATTTTTGTATTGTAATTTTTATATTTTTTATTTTATTAATCAAAATACAACGGCCACAAAATAATATTCAGTGTTAGGCTGCCGAGTCTCCAAACGCGTGCATGTTGCGGGGCGAGCTGAGATATAGTACTATAATGTCTTCAGCCGTTTGCAACAAAACTTTATAGTTTTGTTGCAAATGAATTGAGAATTTGTAGTGCTATATATCAGCTTAATTAAACAATTATATTGTATACATGGTTTTAAAAAATCTGTAAAAAATTTTGCACTGAAATGTGCGCTGAAGGAATTTGCGTATTTTAATTATACCTGTCATGTTTGTGGTTTTTCATCATTATACAGTCTGTTTAAATAAATATTCAGAAACACATGCAGTGCTACTTTTTGTATTTTTTTCTGTTTAACTTTTATTAAACTGCAGATCAAAATAGAATAGGCCTATACCCTAAATGAGGATAAATTATATTGGAACGCATCTCCAAAAATAATCGCATACACAGATGCACGTTGCCATTACAGTAGTCAGCGCCGAACAATAGGCAAATAAAATATAAACTGAGGTTACAAAAGTGATTCAGTCAAGATCAGTGAGGGATTTTCTTTTCTTTCATTCTTTAAATTAACATTAATGACTGGCGACCGCGGCTGCTGTCAATGCACAGATCCAGTACACTCTTGTTTTCTTTCTCAACTCTTTACGTTCACTTAAGACATAACCGATTGAATTTATGGGATATTTTGATATAATTCTGTGTGTATTTGTCCATTCGAATGTGTAAGAATGCGAGAAAGAGAGCTCAGTCCAGTGTTCGCGTATATAAGAGGCGACTTTTCTTGCATGCAAAAAGACCTGTATGGTGACTATGGGTCTATGTAAAATATTTTTTGCAACTTACTAGGTTTATCGTTTGTCTTTTTTTTTTTTTCGATAATGTCGATAATCGTCTGTTACCTGACTGTTGACATCGACATCGCGATACTTACGAGACATCGTCGATATACGATAGTATCGTCATATCGCCCAGCCCTACTATGTAGTTTTGTCAAACTTGTTTTTTGTTAACAACAAATGCAAAACTTCTTTGCTGGAAGACCAAGAACCATGTTGATGGTGAGAGAGGCAGCGACGACATAGGAGGGAAAAACGTAGCATGCGCTGGAGTTCACTATGTATGTTAATGGCAGGCACATTGAAAGGTTTGTCATGGTCTTATCTAGAGTTTATGAAACTCTTGGGAGAATAAAGATGCATTAGGACCATATGAGTAAACATTACAAACCAGCTTTCTAGTTTTAAAGTAAATTCTGAGTATATTTTCTCACCAGGAGCATCTCAAGGAAGTGTGTCCTCGTTCCCTGAGTGTTTAAGTTGTCCACCAAACACTTGAAATCACAGTAGCCAACTACTAGTTTGGTTCAGGTTGAAGGTCCACTGAATATGATTTGTTTCATATGCTGCCAAAATACTTAGTTATGATTTATGACTTTTGTCTTGAATCTACTGAGCAGTTTTGCATTAATACAGCATTCAGATTCAGTTTGCGAAGCATGGAAAATGCATATTAGGCATGCAAATGAAAAAACAATTTGTCATAATCCCATTTGTCAGGTTTATAACAACTTTGTCCACATTCACAGCAAAATGAGAAGTTTAGCCAGTGTAATATGCGAGTAATATTAGACTTTGTTTGGACACAGCTAGTCACTTTCCAGGTAAAGAGCTATTAGCAGTAGTACCGTCTGTGGTTGAGTCAAGGTTTCTGACAAGATTATCAGTTTAGGCGTCACCATAACTGGTCAGGTATGATTGGTCTAAATAATAATTATTCTGACTTAAGTTATTGTAAGTTATTGGTCAGGCTGGTTCACAGTTCAGTGGGCGAGGAATTTTATTTACTCATAGTTTGCTGTGGTGGTTTTCAATGTGTATGGCAGCCCCAATTTACAGCCCCGAAATTAACAGATTTAAACAAATTCTAGAGTACAAATGTCTACAATAAGACCCCAGAAATGTCCTAAGATTTGAAAATGACCCAACAGAGCAGTCAGTTTTATGAATCCTGTTTTATGTCTTTGTAAGAAGGAAATCTTATGTTTGCCACTCAGTGGTTTAGCAAGACAGCCTTGGCATTGAATTTTTACAGATTTTGTTCTCTGCTGGATGAAAAGTTTCATGAAAACTTTTTAAATGTTAACAAAAGGGCAATTTTCCAACCCTTTTGAGATAAAGGAAACGATACCCAAACCCTAACAGGATCGCAAATAACAAGGAAATGGACCAGGATAGAAGAAACTTCTCTAAATCTAAAATATAATAAAGCACAAGAGAGACAAAGATAGGACCGTATGTTAGTGTTGAAAACACCAGCAGAACCAAAATGATCCGAAAAGCTTTGATTTTGTCCTGATTTACTCCATTCCTCTTCTTGACGTCGTCACCAGGTCCAGGACGCATCAGAGCCTTCAGGACCATCAAGCAGCTGTACAGTTTTACAAAGAAGAAGAAGAGTAATTGTGGCAGAAGAAAGTTGTAATATTTAATGTCACCCATTGTACCGATTACACATGAGCTAATAATAACAATCCATCCAACGGCGCATAAAGCAATCCTGTATTTTATGGGTTTGAGCTTCAGGAAGGTAACGGGATGGAGAACACCTAAGTATCGCTCCACACAGATGCAGCTCAGAAACAGAGGACGACCGACCAACAGCAGCTGTCCAAGAAAGATCAGTGGTAACCAACAATCAATGCAGTCAAAGAAATATTCTGCTATGGCAAAAAAAAGAGCAGAACAGAAGAGGATTTCAGCAAGTGCCCCATTAACATTGAAGATTTTGGTGGACTGTCCTTGAATCATCTCTTTCATGCTCAGCCACAGGATGTAACAATTTGCTGGAAGACCAAGGACCATATTGATGCCAAATGCAGTGGTGAAAAAAGAGGAGTATAAAACACTGAAAATGGTGGAGTTCACAGAGAAAAGCGATTCTCTACAGGCTGAGATGTTTGTCATCTCCAACATGTCCATATCTAGATTTGTTTTATATGTCCATTTAAAAGAAAGTACATTTATTTTCAGTCGTTCTTCAAAAGCACAGTCGCTAACAGCTAGTGTGACTTCAGCCGAACATGTTGGATGTGATCTATAAAGACGTTGTTTTGACTTATTGAGATGTCTTTGTAGCTTGAACAAGGTGCTGGAAATATTCCTCAGAGATTTTGGTCCATATTGACATGGTGGCATCTAGGGATGTAACGGTATGAAAATTTCCTATCACGATTATAGTGACCAAAATTATCACGGTTATCAGTATCATCACGGTATTGTTAAAATGTGCTGGAGATGTTCAAAAAGGACTGACACATAAATCACTTCACCAAGTTATACATTTAAAAATCAACAAACAGCAAATAAAATGACTTTTTATTTGCTTAATCACTAAAACAATTAATGATAATTAAAAGATGAAACGGTAATACTCACCGTGGGGAATTTTATCATGATTTATCGTCAAACCGGTAATCGTTACATCCCTAGTGGCATCATGCAGTTGCTGCAGATTTGTTGGCTGCACATCCATATTGTGAATCTCCCGTTCCACTACATACCAAAGGTTTGTCATGTTCAAGAAACCAGTTTGAGATGATTTGAGCTTTGTCATGTGGCATGTTATCCTGCTGGAAGTAGCCATCACAAGATGGGTACACTGTGGGATGTACGGGGTCAGCAACAATACTCTGGTAGGCTGTGGCATTCAAACAATGCTCAATTGGTACTAAGGAGCCCAAAGTGTGCCAATAAATATCCCACACACCATTACTTCACCATCATCAGCCTGAAAAGTTGATATAAGGAAGGATGGATCCATTTTTTTATGTTGTTTACGCCAAATTCTGAGCCTACCATACAAATGTCGCAGAAATTTAGGCTCATCAGACCACGCAACCATTTTCCAATATTCTATTGTCCAATTTTGGTGAGCCTGTGCAAATTGTAGCCTCAGTTTCCTCACAGGAGTGGCGCCCATTGTGGTCTTCTGCTGATGTAGCCCTTCTGCTTCAAAGTTGGACGTGGTGTTCAATCAGAGATGCTCTTCTGCATACTTTGGTTGTAACAAGTGGTTAACTGAGTTTCTGATGCCTTTCTATCAGCTCTAACCAGTCTGGCCATTGTCCTCTGACATCTGGCAGCAACAAGGCATTTTTGCTCACAACCACTGCTCTCTGGATATTTTCTCTTTTTTTAGACAATTCTCTGTAAACCCTAGAGATGGTTGTGTGTGAAAATCCCAGTAGATCATCAGTTTCTGAAATATTCAGACCAGCCCATCTGGGACCAACAACCATGCCACATTCAAAGTCACTTAAATCACCTTTCTTCCCCATTCTGATGCTTGGTTTGAACTTCAGATCGTTGTGACCATGTCTACATGCCTAAATGCATTGAGTTACTGGATGTGAATGGCTGGTTAGATATTTGCATTAACGAGCAGTTGAACAGGTGTACCTAATAAGTAGCCAGTGAGTGTATTTAGAAATGTGTACTGTATAAATAACATTGTGACATCATCATTGTCTCATTGCTGGTCAGCCTGGTCCACAGTTTGATGGGTGAGGAATAAGACCCCAAAAATTTACTAAGATTTGAATATGGCCCAATTGAGCATTCAGATTTCTCCACTGTGTCATTAGAGGAAGGCAAGTTTATGTTTACCTAAAACATTGTTTTTTAAAAAGAAGGTGCCAATTTCTGGTCAATTCAAAGATGTGCAGAAGATGTGCAAAACCACTCAGATATTCCGCTAGGATAACGACATTTAGAATAATCAAAAGCGTATTCATGGTCTCACTAACTGTTTTTTCAAAGGGTTCCATTTTATTGAATGGTAACTGACGTTTTTACAGAGTTTGCCCCATGCTAGACAAGAAATTTCTCTCTTTCTTCTACTTCTTTTTTTTTTTAATGTTAACAAAAGAGTGGTTTTCCAACTGTTTTGAGATGGAGGAAAGGATACAGAATCCCTAACATGATCCCGAAGGTCAAGGAAATGGACCAGAATAAAAGAAACTTCTCTAAATGTAAAATATGATAAAGCACAAGAGAGACAAAGATAGGACCGTATGTTAGTGTTGAAAAGACCAGCAAGACCAGAATAATCTGAAAAGCTTTGATTTTGTCCTGATTTACTCCATTCCTCTTCTTGACGTCGTCACCAGGTCCAGGACGCATCAGAGCCTTCAGGACCATCAAGCAGCTGTACAGTTTTACAAAGAAGAAGAAGAGTAATTCTGGCAAAATTAAGTTGTAATGTCGAATGGCACCTGTTGTACCGATTACAGATGAGCTAATAATAAAAATCCATCCAACGGCGCATAAAGCAATCCTGTATTTCATTGGTTTGAGCTTCAGGAAGATCAGAGGATGGATGACCCCTACATAGCGCTCCACACAGATGCAGCTCAGAAACAGAGGACGACCAAGCAGCACCAACTGTCCAAGAAAGACCAATGGTAGCCTACAATCAATGCAGTCAAAGAAATATTCTGCTATGGCAAAACAAACAGCAAAACAGAAGAAGATTTCAGCAAGTGCTCCATTGACATTAAAGATTTTGGTGGACTGTCCTTGAATCATCTCTTTCATGCTCAGCCACAGGATGTAACAATTTGCTGGAAGACCAAGGACCATATTGATGCCAAATGCGGTGGTGATAAAGAAGGAGTGTAAATCATTGAAAATGGTGTTATTTACAGAGAAAAGTGATTCCCTATAAGCTGAGATGTTTGTCCTTTCCAACATGTCCATACCTAGACTTTTTTTTTGACCTGTTAAAAAAATAAAATAAATAACTGAAACATTACTTGGAAAAAATATAAATCTTTATAAACCTATTTGAAAAGAAGTAGTAAAAGATTTGTAAAGAATATGTCTACTCACAAGAAAGTGCTTTTGATTTATTTTCAGTCGCTCTTCAAAAGCACAGTCGCTAACTTCTAGTGTGACTCCAGCTGAACATGTTGGATGTGTATAGATGTCGTTTTGACTTGTTGAGGTATCTTTGACATATTGAGCAGCTTTGCATTGATGCAGCATTCAAATTCTGATTTTCAAACCCAAAAAATCTATATTAGGCATGCAAATGAAGTTTATTTAGAAATGTATACTTTAGGCTGATGATATACGGGGCAACTTTTTGAGCAAAATCCGTGTATCATTCGATCATTCGTTTTTTGATTTAATATTGAAAGTAGAAATATGAGAAAACGGCTCCTTTTTCGTTTCTTTTTTCCCAAAATTGAAAAAAGAGAATTCAGCTTAAATTGTCTTTTTTCGCTCAGGGGTAGAATAATAAATAAACAGCTTGAATATTTGATTTCTACACGTGGGCGGGAATTAAACGCCCCTTTCTGCTGATTGGTCAGCCGAAGATCAAACCGTGCCGTCATCAGTTCTTCCGCAGTATCACGCAGCAGAATAATAGTCCTCCACTGCTGCAGTTGTATGGATTAATTACCCATTTTATTGCAACTACATTTCATATTTTTCTCATCAAACAGACTAATGAATAGCTCGACACAACTCGTACCAGGGCAGAGGGCTTTCTTCTGTGTAGACCAGCGGCTCTTAATGTGACAGGGGTTCCGCAAAATAATTTGCTATAGCCTAAAGTATTTCCAAACTGTAAAGTCGCATTTTTTATCATGATACATAGGCCTACTGTGATGAAGCAACATTACTCAAAAAAAGTTGCCCGACAAAATTGCTCAAAAAATTGCCCCGTGTATCATCAACCTAACATCAGACTCCAAAGGCCTGTTCAAAATAACTCATCCTTCCTGAGTATATCATGCATATGTATATTAAAGGGGTCATATGATGCTGCTAAAAAGAACATTATTTTGTGTATGCGTATTGAGACCAAACTTCTTGTGTGTAGTAATAACCATGACCTGAGGGTACCTGCACAGTTTCGGCACAGAGTCACCTAGTGGTCTGGAAAAATGGCTGTTTTTTATAGTTAAATTATTCAAATTTTCCCATGTCAGACATTTTGGGCATTGGCCATTTTGAATTATATTATGCCAAATTTCAAGAATGCATTGGCGTATCTTCATGAAACTTAGTATGTCTCATTGGCACCTAAAGTACTCTCCGCTATTTTGATTTTCTTTTTTAAACCTACTTTTTCTAACTCCTCCTTAGGCCTGGGTATCATTCAAAAATTTTCGATATCGATACCGATACCGATACCTTGACTTCGATACCGGTTCCTGAACGATACTTTTTTCGATACCAATTTTATGAATTCAATTTTAACGAGATTACTTCGATTGCCATTTTATGGCATGAACAGTTTTCCTCCATTCTGAATTTTTTCAGAAAGCCTAGCCCTGGGCGGTTGCTCTGATTTTGACACAAATTGAATCAGATCATCTTCAGACGATGCTGGCAAAATGTTAAGGAATTCAAGTTGAGCTGTATCACTGCAGTGCTTTAGCGTTGTGACGAGTGGGGGCGGGGCCGAGAGCCGTGGGAACGGAGCGAGGCCGGTGGAGTAAAATGCAGTGGAAACCCCAGTATGACTAGGATAGTTTTCATTTTAGAACATAAACGCACCAGTGCAAACGTAGCCTTACATCTAGGGGGGCTGGGACGCATTCACACTACAGCCTCACGTGTGCGCCACATCTCTGAGTGTAACCGGTGTAAACTAGTAGGTGTGTTCGACTGTATTACAGTACCACGAGAGCTAAAGAGAGCAGACTGCTCCGTGCGCTTTCGAATCGCTCTCGCGGATGATCGATCTGCGCCGCACCTCTAGTCGAACACACCGGCTAGTGCTGCAGGCTTATTGGCTCACTGACGCTGATAAGATTAACCCCTTAGGTATCGAAATTTGGTACCGAACGACGAGACGTTTTTCGATACTCGATGGTATCGAGGCAATTCGGTCAGTGCCTAAAAAGTATCGAACTCGATACCCAGCCCTACTCCTCCTAGTCTAGACTGTTGTTTCTGTTTTCACCAAATTTGACTCAGATCATCTTCAGACCATGCTGGCAAAAAGTTATGGATTTCGTGTCGATAGATAAAGTGGTTTTCATTTACTGCACCAAAGAATTTGGTTTAATGCCAAACTGTAAAGCTTCAACATATTGACACCAAACTTTGTGTGTGCCATTGTGACCTCACACTAAACACACCACATCAATGTGGTAACAGTGCCACCTATTTTCTACATAGAAAATCTGTCATTATTTCTTGAGGGACTTGAGGCTGGGTAATTGATCATAAAATTTTATTTTTGGGGGAAATATCCATTATATTATTATTTATTGGGCTACGGTGTGTTTGTAAGCTTATATTGCATTTTTTAGTGTATTATATTTAGGCCACTGTGTAATAGGAATGTGCACAAATAGTCGAATATTCGCTCTGTAATTATTATTCGAAAAATAAAAACACGGTTCGAATTTTACTGCATGTTGCTTTGCTGGACGTAAATGCAGGGAATCCATGATAAATCCTAAGTAGCAAACTAAATGTCAGTTATAACCAAATGCCCTGGGTGATACTGTGCAGTGTGTTTACAAGTTGATTGTATTTGATCACAGAATGTCATCGTCTGCCTCGTGAAGTTTGGAGTTACTTTGATCAAAATTATCTTACTAAATGATCTTACAAAATGGAATTACTTTTGATTAAATGAATCAGTGAAACGAAAAATAAAAACACTGTTCGAATTTTACTGCATGTTGCTTTGCTGGACGTAAATGCAGGGAATCAATGATAAATCCTAAGTAGTAAACTAAATGTCAGTTATAACCAAATGCCCTGGGTGATACTGTGCAGTGTGTTTACAAGTTGATTGTATTTGATCACAGAATGTCATCGTCTGCCTCGTGAAGTTTGGAGTTACTTTGATCAAAATTATCTTACTAAATGATCTTACAAAATGGAATTACTTTTGATTAAATGAATCAGTGAAATTGAGTTATCATAATATCACCGCCACAATGAGGAATCACATGAAATCCAAACACCAGTCGACTGAGGAAAGACAGCTGATATATTGTTTTTCTCAACATTAATATGTGAAACAATATAAAAATGATAAACATCAGCTGACTGGAGTGTATACGTTCTGTACTGTAATTGGCACGGCCTTCTTTATTTTTTCCGTTTGCTGCGCTTGAGCTTGAATGCTTTTGTTCTTTATATATTTTTTTTTTGTTTGTTTACACATGTTTTCAATTAAAAGAAAACTTTGATATAACGTTGTTGTAAAACATTGTTGTGTATAATGCCTAATAGGGCTGTGCAATTAATCGCATGCGATTGTCATGCGCATCTTGTCAGTAAAGCCGGTTCCGTGATTGGTAGTAAATCGCCATCACCTGCTTTCAGATGGAGCGGCATTTACTACACAGAGCCGTAGTTCACATTCATAATAGCAGATGAATCGCATTCGATTATTGCCTAGCTTGTCACGGAACCGGCTTTACTGACAAGATGCGCTTGACAATCGCATGCGATTAATTACACAGCCCTAATGCCTAATCATAAGCTTGTTCAGAAATGGTGACAAAAACCTGATTATTAAAAAATAACGTCTTTCTCGTTAAATGTCATTTAAATAAACAAATATCTGTATATCCGTTTTTATGAGCCCAAATATTCAAATACAATATTTTTGAAAAATGCCCATCCCTACTGTGTAATGTGCTTATATTGACTGTTTCTGCACTTACGTCAGTAAAAACGTTTATTTGTGTAACTCACCAAGAATCAATATTAGACACAAACCCAAAAATGACAAAATACAAAAATGTAATTTCTAAATATTTATTATTATTTTATTAAGCATGAAACGGTATGAAAGATAAGGACATGGATATGGCTTTTTGGACATTTATGTGTAAATATGTGCACTCCATTCCATCTAAAACCTGTTAACAGAACGGCAGCTTTCCAGCTCTTTTGAGATAGAGGTAAGAATGCACAAACCCTGACATGTGCCCAAGGCACAAACAAATGGACCAGGACAAAAGAAACCTCTCCCAATCTATAAAATAATAAAGCAGGAGAGAGTTGTAGGACCGTACGTCAACACTGAAGATGCCAGCACCATCAGAATGATCCAGAAAGCTTTGAGTTTATCCCAGTTCACTCCGTTTCTCTTCTTGACGTTATCAGCAGGTCCAGGACACAGCAGAGCCGTCAGGACCATCAAGCAAGTGAATAGTTTTATGCTGGGAAAAAAAAGGAAATTTTGGCAAAATCAATCGATAAAGTTCAATGATATTCATTGTCCCTATATGCTTGAACTTATGATCAGAACCCATCTGATGATGGATATGGTGGTCCTGTATTTCATGGGTTTGAGCTTCAGGAAGGTAACGGGATGGAGAACTCCTAAGTATCGCGCCACACACATGCAGCTCTGAAACAGAGGACGACCGACCACCAGCACCAGTCCAAGAAAGACCACCCCAAGTTAACATTCAGTGCAATGAAAGAAATGATGTAGAATAACAAAAATGTAGGAACCACAGAAGATGATCTTAGCAAGTGCCGGGTTGAAAACAAAGATTTTGGTCCACTTTCCTTGAATCATTTCCTTCACACACGGGATATAACAGTTTGCTGGAAGACCAAGAATGACATTGATGCTAAGCGAGATGACAATAAAATAGGATGATAGAAGGCTACATGTCTTGAAGTTCATAGAGAGCATCGATGGTATGCATGTCGAACTGTTTGTCAACTCCTACATGCTTTAACCTTGATCTTTTGAACCCTA